ATGAACGATTAGATCTAAAATCGTGAGATATCGGAATGGAGAATGGCTCACCGGTGTTGGAGAACTGGAGTGGCGGCGTGAAAGAGCTGCAAATAGAATGAAGATAAATGGACGTGTTAGGGCTTTGGGGAACTGGCCTAGTCAATTAGCGTGCGCCCGGCTGCGTAGAATACGCCCAATGGATGTTTTCTTAAAACTAAAAATGGAAATTACTAAAGAAAAAAATAATTGTTATATTTTCAAGACTGCAAATTAAAAATCACTCTAACGCTATCATGCACAAATCAATTGCCAAAATAATTATAGAAAATCAATTAAAAGATGGATATCTTTACATTTATTAAAATGTGTTTTTTTTTTCCTTTTCATTATCTTTTAGACTTGTTGACATGAAAGTGCATCGTTATGAATTTCTTATATGTTTTTGCTTTTTCAACAACCATCCATGTAAAATAAATGGTATTGGATAAAAATGGAGACAAACAGGGATACCGTTTGATAAGACTTTGCAGGCCAATTACCATGGAGTCGATGCTACATAATGATGGTATGAAACAATTTTCGTTGGGGCATGCAACATAATGATAGTGCGATCACAGCACTAAAAATTCTCTCCTCTACATTGTATTTTCGAATTTAATGTGATTAAACATCCTATAACCTTTTTTAGTTCGTCCTTTTTTACAAAGTTTTTCTTGAAATTATAAGTTAGTCAGCTTCACTTTCAATAATTACATGTTTTATTGAATTCACAGTTATATCTATTTTAATCATATATATTATGAGACTCGTCAACTTATAATTTTAAAAAGCTTTGTCAAATATGAATTTATCGAGTCTCTGTATGTTTTAGCTAAAAACCATATTTTTAAGTAACTTTTCATGAAATCGATGAAATATGGGGTTGAAATTTTGATATAAGTCGTAGATTTCATGAAATTTGTAATTGGAAATAAATTTGAAGAAAAAATTAAGATTTAGATTAATAAGGATCAAATGTGAGCTAAATCTTTGAGAGTAGCTTGTGTATACTCTCTTATATCACTCTTTTAACTTGACAATTAATTTTCATTTTGAATTAAATTAGTTTGTTTTTCTATCTTGTCAAACTCAACAAAAAAACGTACATGTTGTGCTAGTAATTAATACCCACGATAATGATGCTTAGCCCATGTTTGGTTTAAAAAAAAAGGAAAAGAAAAGATATTTAGTCCTTGATTAAGTTCTATTTTAATCTTAATATATTTTTCTTTTTCTTTTTTTTAATCACGTATTATTTAATAAAATAATATTACACGTAAACTCAAAAATATTTCTTTCTTTTTTAACCATATATTCTAAAAAAAAAATTCTATTTCAAAATTCGTTTTTTAAAACCTCATTAAAATGGAGATTAAGAAGGACTTAGTAATTTTTGATGAAAATTGATGAAATGTGTGAATAAAAAGTCGTGAGTCCTATAAAATGTATGTATGGCTAAAATTAATTTTTAACATTAACTTAAATTTTAATTTAACTTTAACATTGAACCAAACAGGGACTTCATTTCAAGCTTAATCCTTTTCTATTTCCCAACCATTATAACATGCTTATGCTACGATTCCATGTGGATATTCACCTGATAAAAAGAACGAGTTAATGGTACGAATAATGGAAAGAAGAAGATCATATAGCCCCCTATTTGATGGCAATTTTTCATCAACATTTTAATGAAATATTGAACCATTAGCTGTCGTAATTGTTGATTTTCTTTACGCTACAAACCAACACATGGACCCACTAAGAGTATAAAAATGAATTTTAATTTTGCAAATAGTGGAGCGAAAGAGTCGCATAGTCCTTTAGGAAGCATCCATGGCACCTTGGTGGGGGTGACTCCTCAGTAACATTTGACGTATAATTTAAAAAGTTGTCCTCTATGAAAGAGAACCTTGTTCTCCAAAAAAAAAAAAAAAAAAAAAATAAAAAAAAAAAAATATATATATATATATATATATTATATTCTCTCAGAATCAGATTTCAATTTTATCTCTCACCTATATATACCTTACATCCCCACTCTATTGGAACTTATACGCATTTTAAAAATAATCCTGCGTAAATAATCTGCGTCTAAATTTTTTAAGTATAGCCAAACGATACCTATTTTCTCAGAGGGCCATGCTTTTCTCGCACAGAATTATTTCCTCACATTTACACCGTTTTGTTCTTCTCTGGAGTACAATCGGTTTCCTTCTTCACCGACTGAATAAAATAAAATATGCGAAGTTCCTCCCTATAAAGGCTAATAATTTGCTATATTTCGAGGTAGTCTTCTAGTTCTGTCCATGTACTCTGCATTTTCTAGGATTATCAGCAATTTTCGTTTTAAAGTTATTTTTTTCCATTTCGGGCAGTGAGATGATGAAATTGGCATAAGATCAAAATTGGTTAGTCTGAATCTACGAGGATAGAATGCAGTAAATTGCATTTTATTTCTATGGTTTTGTTGCCGTAAGTTGCTTTTTTCCAGTGGCATAAATATGTTTTCTTGATGGTATTAGGGTTTGAGAAAGATCGTTGTTTTTTACCGGCGCAGAAAAATAAAGATTAAAAATATCAATGGAATTGGGACTTATGATGATTACTTACTTAAATTTTTGGCTACGGAGTTTCACTTGGGTTTGATTTTGAGGTTGTTTCATGACCAACAATGGACAGAAAGTCATCAGCTAGTAGGAATCTGAAGCCGGGGAAATCCCGTGGTTTTCTAGACCTACAAGCACCAATGCAGGTCAATGAACAACAAAACCGATGTCAAGGGTTTATGGTGTCTTCAAGTGCACAGGTTCAAGATGTTTTACCCATTCCAAATAGGAATATGCGAAGATTCGATGCACCAATGTCATTAGTTGATTGCCATGGCAAGCCTGAGGTGACAAATAATTCTTGTGACGAGGACAATTCTTACTCGGTGGGACAACATGCCGTTGAGCACAATGATGGTGTGAGAGAGAAAAAAGAGTTGCCTTGGCAGCGCGTGAAATGGACTGATCAAATGGTGAAGCTCTTGATTACTGCTATTTCTTATATTGGAGAAGATCCTGCCTCTGATGCAGTTGATGCTGGTGGAAGAAGGCTTTCGCCTATTTTACCAAAGAAAGGGAAGTGGAAAGCTATCTCCAAGGTCATGGCCGAGAAAGGCTATCAGGTATCTCCTCAACAGTGTGAGGATAAGTTCAACGATCTGAACAAAAGGTATAAGAAACTCAACGATATACTTGGGAGAGGCACCTCTTGCAAGGTTGTTGAAAACTCTATGCTCTTGGATTCGATGGATTTGTCTGAAAAAGCTAAGAATGCTGTTAAGAAGATATTGGGCTCAAAGCAGTTGTTTTACCAAGAAATGTGCTCATATCACAACAGGAATCGGATGTACATTCCTCATGATCAGGCTATTCAAAGATCGTTACATTTGGCTCTTAGAAGTAGCGACAATCAAGAATCTCATGAGACCAGGGCCTACGTCACGGACAGCACTGACAAGGAGGAAGAAAATGAGGCAAGTGATGGTGTAAATGAGGACATCCGAGAAAAACATGCTTTGAGTAAGGATCTCACATTAAGGGTGCCTGCAAAGAGGAAGAAACCAGGGGGCGAACATGAAGACATGGACTCTAGTTACATTATGAACTGTCACACTACTGTGAAAAGATCTGGTCCTCATTATCAACCAAGTGTGGACCCATTATCTGGTGAGGGAAGTGATGGAGAATCGCTGCATAATCAATGGTTCATGTCTCGCACACTTCAGTTAGAAGAGCAGAAATTACAGATTCAAGCGGAAATGCTGGAGTTGGAGAAACAACGTATCAGGTGGCTGACGTCTAGTGAGGTTGAAGACGGGGAGTTGGAGAAGATGAGATTGGAAAATGAGTATTTAAAGCTTGAGAATGAGCGATTGGCATTCGAAATCAAATGCCGAGAAATGGGTGCCAATTGAAGTTAGTATGTATCAGCATGTTATTTCATTTTCCGGCCTGGTCCATACTGTCCAACTCAGTATAGTTGTTTTCCATTTTATTTATCCTTTAACCTCCTTCTCCACCTGAATGAATGAAACTGCTGCATCATCAGAAAAATATTGCAAACCTTGATGAATAAAATCTGTGTTGTCCTCTTGTGATTTGACAATCTTAAAATTTTACTATTTCCTTTGGCACGCTGCGCTTTATGGTAGTAAATCAGGATTTTATAGTCTGCAATCAAGTATGTGGTTCGGTACTTTCTTCTCAAATACCCATCTTCTTATGGATGTCTTAACCGTGTGTACGTAGTCTCTTCTCTTATAATGTGATTTTCTATGCACTGGAGACTATCGGTATAAAAAAAGAATGTGGAAAAACAATGTATATTATGCTTAATTAAGAGACATTGCAAATCTACTTGTAACTGGTGCCATTTTGCTTCCTTAGCCCAAGATGTGTGATACATTTTTCATTTGCATATTTGGAAAGTGTTGCATGAAAGTGCAAGGCTTTTACTGTGGATCTTATTTTGTGATATTTTATTCAATGCCTGTGAAAGGTGATGAATCTGCCAGCTAATGTGCTGGAACTTTAAACTTTGGCACATTTAATGACTTTGCTCCCTCTTTCGTATGCCGTCATCTTTAATAAGGTGATATTATTTCTTACTAGTTGAGCAGTATGAATTAGAGCTGAATATCAATAGTATCTTTAGCTGACTATCTAAGACATTTTACATTTTTGTGAATTGAATAATCAGAACTTTGACTTGTGGAAAAAGGTGGTCTATTGACCTTCTTTTACAACTGCACGTGGATGACCAAAGGTTTATAGAGTTGGCCTATGTTTTCTGTGAACTAGTGAGTTATTTAGAATAAGGGCCAACATTTTCTACTTTTAGCTAAAAAATTAGCATTCACCTTTTTTTGTTAGAGAAGGGTGATGTTGATGTCAGAAATAATTGTCATGACAAAAAAAAAAAAACTTTAGCTAGTTAAAAGGCGACTATCGTCAACTATATTGTTTTTCACATCTGCTGCCATAGTTTATGCCTTTATTTTTGACGTTTAGTATGTTGAGGTGAGATGTTCTTAGTCTATTGATATTTACCTGCCCCAACTCCTGCTTTTCAACTTCTATTTATTTAGATAGTAGAATTTCAGTTTAGAAATCTGTTGCTCAGAATTGGGTACAACTGTCAAACGTGGGTGTAGTGTCAAAGCTTTGCCCATTTTTATAGGGTTAGACACTTATATTGTGTCATGCTGAAAATGGATAGGCCATGTTTACTCAATTCTTGGAGTAACCCAAGTTGCATTGAAATTGATTGTGTTCAGGAAAAGAAAAGAAAAATATTGCTCCTTTTGTATCACACTAGTTTATGGAAATCATTTCAAAACGAATCGAATTTACAGACAGAAAACTCAAATATTATGTTGGATAATCTTCAAAAACATCATGAATATATCTTCGTTAATTTTAGATATGAACAGACTACTTGCAAATTGTGTTGAAGGTTGTTGCTTGAAATTTATGAGCTCTAATCCCAAAGCTAAGCAGTTGGTTGTACTGACAATGGAAAGTTGTTGGAGAAGCATGGCATTCGGTTGCTACCTGTCATTCTTTCCTATGGGCCCAATTCCATGGCGATCTTGACAATTTGGCTTTCTGAAGCTATCCGTCTTCTTTCTTTTTCCCATATATGGGCAAGTTACTTTCAATGTTCTTTCATTCTTGGTAAGATTTTCTTCTGTGATGATTGATATGACACAATCTTCACTAATTTCTCTGTGGTTCTTCGCAATTCTGGCTCTTTATCGTAGGCTTACAGGGCAATGGTTCACATCACTGTAAATTATTCAAGTATTTCGGTTAGAGGATCATGAAAGGTGAAATGAAAAAGAATTATCAGTAGAATGGGTTATTTGCTTAAGTGTGGTCTTCAAAATCCAGATGCATTTGTTTGTTACAATGTGTTTGAAGTGAATGCATGCAAGTGCATTATTTTGTTCTTAATGTGAATTAATGTGGTTGATTGTTGCTTCCGTGGAGAATTTTATTAGGCTTCAGCTAGCTAGTGTAAACAAAATGAAAGAACACTTACCAGTTTTCGTTAATAGGATACTAAGCAGATCACTTGGTTTGCTAATAATGAAGGATCGATGCAAGTTATTCACCAACTAGCTCCTTGTCTATATTATTTAATGAATCATCCCCCAGCAACTTTCAGGTGCCTTTTTTTGGGGTTGGCAGTTTGATCAACCTGTCCACCATGGTAACAAGGACGGTAAGTTGAACATTTTTTTTGGAAATGGATGGTGGACAGATGGTCTAGGGGGTCCTAATGGTAAAGCCAGGGAAGGTATGGTGTATGGCAGCACATAAAATGGATGGATGAGATATTGAAGGTTTTGAGTACCGCTGTCTCTTATGGTGGGAAAGAAGTATCTCATGGCTAAAGGTGAAAGAAGGAATCAGTTGCTACCTCCAACAAAAGGTAAGTGGAAGGGTAATTCCAAAACTATGGCTGAAAGAGGTTATAATGTGTCCTCCTGACAATGTGAGGATAAATTCAATGATCTGAATAGAATGTATATGAGGCCAAATGAATACTTGGAAGAAAAGCTTCATTTGAGTTGTTGCTAAACCAGCACGTGGAATTGATGAAAATTGCTACTAAAGTCAAAAGAAGAGGTTAAGAGGATTACCTTGTAAGCATTTGTTTAATTGAGAAATGTGCTCAAATTACTGTAAGAATAAGTTATCTGTTTCTTACCACTAGACTCCATGGTTCTCTTATCTGCTCTCAAAGTTAAAGTGACATACAAGTCTTAAGTTGTGATTCAGGGAAAAGATCATGGAGTCCTAGTCAGAGAGATTTCGGAAATTTTTTCGATTGCACTGGGTCAGATCTTTCCTCGAATGTGTGGAGAGAGAGAGAAGTAACTGAATGCGGATGATATCTTGCTCACTGCCTTTTCAAGAACAGAAGTTGCAATACAAACACAGATGCTGAAGTACATCCAGCAGCAAGATGGAGTTGAATAAGATGAAGCTTGAGAATGAGCAATTGGCGCTTGAACTTAAATGCCTTGAAACGAGTGCTGGTCGCTACTGATATATGTATCAGGGTTCTGTGAGCCAGGTGCATTCTCTGGAACTTTTGTTTTTTCTTATCTTTCCTTCTATTTGTTTCCTCTGTTTTAGTACCTGTTTTATTTGTTATTCAAGTGTTGGTTGAATTCTGAGTAAATCAAACAGATATAATGACTACATGTAGAATTAAGTCGACTGATTAATGTGAAACTGCACTGCAAGTGTTTTTTCCTCTTTCTTATTTTGCTTCAAGTCCACACTGGTGCCAACAAATAGCAGATTTTGTCTTGAAGGTAATAAAAAGGCACGAGAGTCTTCATTTTATGTTCATCTAATAACAGTTTCGTTTTGTACCCAAATTTGTGAATTTATGTTTATTCATTCTTCTGCTATAATATATGCTAAGAACATGTAACTATTGGTCTATTGGTTTGCTTCCACGATTATGGCAGACAATACTTCTGTATATGAATAAACTGGCCAAAACCAAATTACAAGTTCACGTTCATAACATATCTCGAGTTTTGTTGAATTCTGTCCATTTGAAATGCACAGTGAATGGTTTATTGGATATGGATTTTGATTTTTTAGTTGTTCAGGACGGACTGCAATATAGTTAATGACCTGTGCACTATGCTTATCTCATTACCATTTTCTTCAGCAATAATCTTTCATTGTTCTTCATCCTACAAAATATGTGCATTTCAATGTTTTAGCCTCGATTGTTTGGTCTGAATTCTTACATGGTTTCTTGTTTATTGCCCTTTTATACTTTATATGCAACTATTTCACTCCTTGTGCACGTTTATGTACAATTAATTGTTTTTGTTAATTATAATCAATTACTTTGTTGCCAAACTAATCATAATGATAGAAAAATATGTGTTGGAAGGAACAGAAAAATTTATTATTAGAGACCACAATCAAATGTCAACCATACAAAAACATTGAAAAACCAACACCAGATTTGTTAAAAAAAAACATTAAGAGTGTGTTTGATTGACATAGAAAATATCACCTAAAAAAAATGTTTTTCATCTTTTGTAGAAAATAAAAATCACCTCTACCCAAGGAAAATGTTTTCCTTAAAAACAAGGAAAATTAGGCATATTTTGAAAAGTTGGAAAATGTTTTCCATGGAAAAAAATATCAATCAAACACTCCAAGTAGAAATTTGGGTGGAAAACTGATATTTTCCATGGAAAATAAATGTAATCAAACACACCCTGTTTTTACGTTGAAAACGTCATACAGAAAATCATGTTCATAAGTTATCACTTCTTTTCTTCCATGGTTTCAGGTTTTTTCTACTGTTCAGTAGTTTCCCTGTTTCTTTTCTGGATTAGTTGTCACAGCGTCTGAATCCTGAATCACCTCGGTTTTTTCTTCTTCCCTTTCTACTACTGAAGATTGGCTGATCTCCAGTTTAGACTCATTTTCTTCATCTTTCTTATCATCACCACTTTCTGGTTTCTTTTATGCCGGTTCTTCCATCTTGGCCTTTATTTCATACTTCTCCTCCACTTCAGCAGCGGTTGTTTCCTCCTTGGGTTGTTCCGGCAGTGGAGTGGCGGTAGCTTCATCCCTAATCCCCTCAAGTACACCAGCACAAGCACCCATATTTCTTGAATCTCAACTAGAAACGACCTTCTCACTCTGATGCAATGTCCCTTCTTTTTCTTTTTTTGATTTTTGAGAGAGATTGTTGAAAGCTATGTTGATTGTGAGAATTTTTTGAAATTATATAAAGTACTTAAAATCTGTAGAAAAGAATACGATATTTTTAGCCAAGACAGAAAAATATAAGGAAAATGACTGGTAAACAGCAGTTTTTTTCTCAAATCCAAATTTTTAAAACATATTCTGGTCAGCTGATTGAAAATTGAATAAGGGGAAAAACAAGAATCTTATTATTAAGGAACACATTTTCTTAGATTGGGTGCCCTTCTAAATTTGGTTAAATGAGAGAAGATTGATCAAAATGTCAAACCATAAATATCTTATATTATGCATACATTATATTTATATAGCAGCTTTGTGACCTTTTTCCTAAAAGCATCTC